TGAGGAACTGTATTTAAAGGGCCAGAAGGTTGAGAACCACTGTCTAAGGCAGTGATGGCGAACCTATGACACGCTTGTCAGAGGTGACACGCGAACTCATTTTTTTTGGTTGATTTTTCTTTGTTAAATGGCATTTAAATATATAAAATAAATATCAAAAATATAAGTCTTTGTTTTACTATGGTTGCAAATATCAAAAAATTTCTATATGTGACACGGCACCAGAGTTAAGTTAGGGTTTTTCGAAATGCTGACACGCCGAGCTCAAAAGGTTCGCCATCACTGGTCTAGGGCAATAGGAGTGCATTGAAAAGCCTCCCCAGGGCGTCCCATCCCACCACTTCACTCCGTTCAAAGTCCCCAGCCTGGGTGCCCTGGGACCCTCCGCAGTTTGGCACAGTGACTCTGGGTCTCCAAGTGTGGGCAGACCCCTGCCCACCAGCCACCCTGGTGGAACTGGCCTTCGGGTCAGGCCTGTGATGCGGAGGGAGCCTTCCCTTCCTGGTGAGGGTCCAGGCAATAGAGCCTAATAGGGCTGATCCCAGCCCCTGAGGCGTTTAGATCCCAGCTACCCCAGGAGCCGTGGGCCACAGCAAAATGCTTCCAGCTGAAACTTAGAAAGCACCAGGAAGTCGGGAGCTCAGAGAAGCCCAGTAGGCGGGACAGGGGTTTTGGATTCAGAAAGCTTTGTGATTCTGAGCTGTTTGACCCTGAATCAAAACTATGCACCTTGCGAAGAAGGCAGGAGAGGGTGGGTGGGAAGCATGTTTTTATGCTCCTTCACTGAAGAACCTCACCTGCCACCTCTCCTGGACTCTTTCACATCTAAATGTGACTTCATTCCTTGTCTTGCACAAGCCTTCAGTCCAAATCACAAATCTGGCCACACCCCTATTCTGAATAAAAAACTGTTCATGGCCTTCCGCTGCCAGGAGAGTGCAAAAAGGCCTGCCAAGAGAGTCCGGTCCCAAGGCCCGCGCTTGGTGATCAGGATCTTGTGAAGCCTGGCCCACAGCCGCGTCCCTGGGCTCCATGTTGAGCCACTCTGTACAGGCCTACAGACGAGTGAGGGATGTGGCCCATCGGGCAACACAACGGCTAAAGGAGCAAATCTTCTTGGGGGGGGGGGGGGGGGGGGGCGGGAGCCCAGGTGGGCTGGCTGCAGCTAGTTAGCCCGATGAGGCTGAAAGGAGCATCGCAGGCAGAAGGGAGAGTGAAGTCCCCATGTGTGGCCGCATTGTGTCGGACTGTGTAAGTGGGGGCATTTGTCCTTCCTCTCGGGCACAGGGGGCTGAGTTGTTGTCAGCTCAGTAGCTCAGAGGCTGTGTCCACACACTGAAGAGCTGATGACTTTCTCTGGGCACCTGAAGGTTTGCTGTTGCTACAAAAGATGCTTAATGCCCCGCCACCTTCACGGTGTCGCTGAGAGCCAGACAAGAGAGGCCTCCTCCAAAAACAAAAGTGCTGAATGTGAGAGAGAAAATAGGGGGCAAAGGAACCCCAGCGGAGTGTAAGAGGCCCTGGAAAATGCAAGAGAGGGTTTTGAATCCCAAGGCGTTTGCACGCTGGGGGGCCTGACTGGGAGCTGGGCTTGTATTTGCAGGAGGCAGCTGGGGCCTGGTCCAGAGGTGGGAACCTATTTCATAAAAGATGACTACGAAAACCTTTCTACAGGCACTTCCTGGTTCTCAAACGTCTAAGAAAAGGGTTGTTCATAGAAACAACTGGCTCAGGGTTGCCTCTCGATCCATCCTAGGCCATTGTGACCCACCGCATTCAAGTCCACGCATTTTATTGATGTACTGACTATTTGGCCCTCACCTTTCTGCCAGGGGCTAGAGAGGAAGAGGCCAGGCTGGGCTTGGGCAGACCAGTGTGTGGAGCACTAGGTCCTGCGTGAGAGGGTCTCAGCCAGTTCTCCTGGGGCCGGTGCCGAGGAGCCCGGAAGGGGAAGCATGACTAAGCTCTCTGTTCTCTCCTTCCCAGTCCTGGCTCCCAGTGACGGGGGAGAAGTGAGTTTCTGGAGGGGCAGCCCCGTCCCCTTCTCGAGTGGGCCGGCTGTGTCCCCAAGAGAAGGGAAGAATTTCCTGGGTGACCACATCTGTCCTCTCCATGTCCCAAGTGAGTCTAAAGGACCTATGGTTACAACAGTCAGCAGATTGGTCACACACCTTTGTCTCTTCTCTTCCAAACCCCCGCCTAAATTGACAGTAAAGAAATTTTTTAAAAGTACAATCTGCAAAGACAAAGAGACTAGGAGAGTGACAACAGCTAGTCATGTCTACTACCTCAAGTACTTTGTGGGCGGCAGGCCGCAGCTGGCTGGAGCATGGGAACCAATGGAGGTGGAGGTCAGATGTCCAGGTGGCCTGAGTGTCCATAGTCCCATCTCTGCAATACTTTTCAGTGTGACCTTGGGAAGTCAGTTTCCTCTTTCTGAGATGCCTTTTTTCCATCTGTAATATGAAGAGAATGTGCTGGATACATGATTCTTATCTTCTGGGGCCTGAATTACAAGTATAGGTACATAAGTTGTTTTTTTAGTTTGTTATTTTTAATATATTTGTATTGATTTCAGAGAGTAAGAGAGAGATAGAAACATCAATGATGAGAGAGAATTATCATTCGGCTGCCTCCTGCATGCCCCCCACTGGGGATCAAGCCGGCAACCTGGGCATGTGCCCTGACCAGGAATCGAACTGTGACTTTCTATTTCATAGGATGACACTCAACCACTGAGCCATGCCAGCCCAGGGCGGTACTTAGGTTTTTTTGTTTGTTTTTTGGTTTTTGTAAAAAATATATATTTTTATTGATTTCAGAGTGGAAGGAAGAGGAAGAGAGAGATAAAAACATCAATGATGAGAAGGAAACATTGATTGCCTGCCTCCTGCACATCGGACCAAGCCCGCAACCCAGGCATGTGCCCTTGACCGGAATCAAACCCAGGACCCTTCAGTCTGCAGGCTGATGCTCTATCCACTGAGCCAAACCGGCTAGGGCGGTACTTAGGTTTTGATTCTGGTTCTGAAACAAGGCCAAGACATCTTTCAAAAGCTCACCCAGGACACTTTCAGAGCCACAGTTGGCATGTGGTCTTCCAGGCCCGTTCAACTCAACACGCCAGGACGCCCACCCAGGAGTTTCTCTGAAGAATGCACAGAGCAGAGGGGTGGCAGAGATCTGAGACCTTCATGGGGGAGATCCAGGCAGGAGGTGGGGCCTCTTCAAAGGAGGCTGAATGGGAATAGCGGAAGGGTCGTTGAGGAGACAAAGGCATTGGAAATGGGCAGAAAGTTCACAGAGGGAGACAGCGAGGAGGGCCCTGCAGGTGGAGGTTACAGCAGAAGCAAAGTCCTGGACACAGAAAAGCATGTGGCAAGTTCAGGAATCGCAAATATTGAGACATGCAGGAACCCAAGGAGACGTTCCAGGAGGAGCCACGAATGAGCGGCTTGAGCTTCGTGCACTTGACGATGGGAAGCCACTGCTGCTTTGTGAGCTAGAGAGTGCACGGCCGCGCAGATCAGCCCGGCCCACACTCTATGAGCACAGAGCGCACGCTGGCCTCATGGTTTTAACCCTCAGATTTGGCCCAGCTCCTCTTTCTTGAGCATCTACTACATGCTACTTATTGTAAGCACTGCGCACAGTGGCTTCATGACCTGGCCACTCCGTCGCTGTACAGTCGCACCTCTCCCAGCCATTTCCTCACTCTTGTCACTCCCCTGACACCCCACCCCCTACTCCAGCTCCACCTGGCATCTCTGAATGAATGTTCTCCATCTTGCCTCACAGCCCCTTCCTCTGTTGGCATGCCCCTTCCCATTCAGCCCTCCGTGGGAGACTGCTTGGTGAACATTCCCTGGGAGGCCGCTCTGATGCCTTCATCTCCCACTGTCCCGACACTGGGTGCCTTTTACTGTTTATCTGTGAGTCAAAGGGCAGCAGCTGGAGGTCAGGTGTGCATCTCAGTGGCTTTCCCGGTCTAACTTCTGGACTGCTGGAACAGGGCAAGCTGTCCGGTGATGAGATCATTGAAATGGGAAATATACAGGCAGGGCTCAAACATTGAGTCATATGCACAACAATGAGTCATATGCAACCATTCGCACATAGCACTGGATAGGTGACTGGGGCAAGTTAACGCAACTGCTGATTGGCAGAACTGGGGACCAAATGCACATGTGTCTTAGTCCTGGCCCAGAGCCCTTTAGCTGGGGACAGCGGCTGCATCCCTGGATGAAAAGATGTGGGATCAGAGAAGCCACAAGCAGGCCACTTCCTCTCACTCACTCTTCTCAGCTTCTCAGGGGGCAGCTCCTACTCACTTTGTCAAGATCCCTATCTGCTCCTGCACGTGGGAAGTTTCCAGGCACTTGCGCGTTGCATCCCTCAGAGGGGTGGGGAGGGCGTGGTCAACGCGGCCCTGGACCTGTGTACCCACCTCTTCTCCCCATGACTTCCCCACCTGGGAGCACCCATTTCGCTCTATAAAAACCCTGGCCACTGTGGGATGGGGCACGGACAGCACTTGCTTCACCAGACTCGTGAGACCTCTCCAGAGAGACCCGAGCCAGCCCGCGATGAAGCTCACCACCATGGCCCTGGTGTGCCTGCTGCTGGTGGGGACGTGGCTGCAGGATGGGGACAGCTGGAGTTGTGAGTGGGGCTGGCGTCTCTTAGCTTCACCTTGGGGAGGGCAGCAATGTGGGCAGGCACCCTGGGGTTGCAGACAGAGCTCACCCTACACTCCCTGCCTCCATCTCGCCTGCTCCGGGAAGAATTCTTCTGGAAGAGGGGGAATGAATGGGTGGGGCACAGGGCCCGTAGGAGAACCAGGAGTTTGGGCAACCACAGACAGCTGAGCCACTCGCTCCTGCAAAAGGAGGCCCTGCCTCGTCCAGCCCCTGCAGACAGATGGAGGGGGCTGTGAGGTTACTAGCTGGAGGCCTGAGGTCCAGAGGGGCCCTGGGTCTGGCCTCCACAAGGTAACAGATACAGGGCAGAGGTCAGGACCCGGGGCTGTGAGAGTTGGCTAGCCTTCAGCAAGTCACTTTACTTCTCAAACTTTGGTTTCCCCATCATTAACGTGGGACTGAGAATGTCTAACATCCAAGGCTGTTTAGAGAATGATAGATACACCAAAGGGGCTTTATAAACAGTAAGACCAGGAGGAAGGAGCCAGGAGGGTGGGGTGTGGGCCGGGGTGTAGAAACAGGCAGGGTCGGGTGAGGGGTCAGGACAGAGCTGAGGACAGGGGGGCAGGGCATTCTGAGAGCCAGTGGGGGAGCTGACTTCCGTTGTCACTCTCTCAGTTTGAGCTCCTTGAACGGTGTCTAATTCTGCCCCAAGACCATAGTTGTCCTGCATGAGCCAGACTCACCAGGCCCCCAGGGCATGAGATTCTTGAACCCCAATATTGGGGCAGAACCTCACACCAGTGGTGGGATGTCAGAGGTGGAAGAGCCTTTAGAAACCAGTCTAGAGACTGGCTTATCTTACAGATGGGAGGTCTGGGGCCCAAGAGATCTTGCTCAAGGCCACCCACTGGTTTGTGGGGAGCTAAGATCTGAACCCCAGTGTCCTGACTCTGCCTAAACACAGAACTAGGTGGCTGGTGGGACTGTGCTGCCCCAGGGCCCTCCCAAAGCCTGAGCCTGTCCTGGAAGGGTTTTTTGTTTGTTGTTTTGATTTTTTTTTTTTAGAGAGAGAGTGGAAGGGAGAGGGAAAGGCAGAGAGAAAAATCAATGTGAGAGAACACATGGATTGGTTGCACCCTTGACAGGGATTGAACCAGGGACCCTTTGGTCCGTAGGCTGACGCCCTATCCACGGAGCTAAACCGGCCAGGGTGGTTCTTGTTGTTGAAAGAGAGAAAAGAAAGCCAGGTTGACCAAATGTGAACCATTTTTGTGTCTCTCTTCTAGTGCACGTGTCGTCTTCCAATTGTTGCTTCACATCTGTAAGGAAAGCGATTTCCCCGAAGAGCATCCTGTGTTACAGAAACTCCAGTTCCTCCTGCTCCCACCAGGATCGTCTAATGTGAGTGCCATTCCCTGTTCCATTCCTGACTTCCTCCTCCAGAGAACAGAAACCGCTGCTGGAATTAGAAAAGTGGTCGATAGATGGCGATGTCCCACCAGAGTAAGGTTTCTAAACCCTGGGAGCAAGGCCTTTAAAACCTGGGTGCAGAGCTGAGGGTGGGCGCCAGGGGGAGCTCCGCGCGTCCTCGCCTGCACCGGTGTGTTCCTGCAGTGACTAGTTTTTGGCGCTCCGAGGAGCCAAGTGTTCTATCCTAACACAGTATTAAGGGAGTTGCCTACACGCTCCCGGTATTACTGCACAGCAAGAAGAGTGAGGGCGTCACGATTAGTGCCTGACTCCAGATTTGCCAGCCTCTAGTCTTGGGTGGCCTTGGGCTGGTGACTCTGCCCTGCATTCTCCAGGTGCTCCTTTGCAGTCCTGCCTGTGAGGTGGAGCACACACCATAGCTGCATCCAGGTCGTTATCACCTTGTCGCTCGGTGTCTAGAAGGCACTTTCGTGTATATTGTCTTGGTTAATCATCTTGGGGTCACATATTTTCATTATCATGAAAACTGAGGTTCAGGGAGGTAGAGAGAGTTGTCTGAGATCACCCAGATAATAAAGGGCAGAACTGGTCTACTTGGTCCATGGCCAAGCTTAGGAGCCAGGAGGGTGGGGTGTGGGAGAGGGCAGATCAGAAAAGAAACACACACACACACACCCTTAGAATGACTGAGCGTCCCTAACGTACAGACAGGGGAAAAGATAGCGCAGAGAAGCCCTCCAAGGTTCCCAGGAGGGGAATTTTCCATGCCTGTCAATCCTCAGGATGTTGACAGCCTTCAGCTCCACTCTGACGCACTGGGGAAAATCTCAGGGAAAGGGGCGCAGGGAAGGCCGTTTAATAAGCTCCCCTGAAGCGTGGGTGCGCCCCCGGTAAGCCCGCCACGGGTCTGGCGCAGTGACTGCACCTGTTAGAGAGACAGCAGCGTAGGGGCACCCAGCAGTAAGCAAGCAGGGGCAAGGGGACTCGTGTGTGGTGCCTGCTGGGTGACTCGATGCCTTTTCGGTTCTCTGCCCATAGATTCAAATTGAAAGGAGGCAAGAAGAGCTGTGCCTTGAAGACAGACAAATGGGTTACCGCTGTCTTACGGAAGATAAAACCCTGCTTGCCGACGGAAATGTGATCCGGCTCCTTTCTACCCTGGACTCCGGAGGCCTCCTGGCTTCACCTGCCCCCACCCCCACCCCTCCACCCTCCACCTGTTCTGCGCCAACATTGCTAGGCCACGGAGGGTCTGGTGGGTTGTCACACTTCACATATTTAAACTACAGAATCCTTGATTTCTGCCTCCCTGTGCCTCTCAGACCCCACAGGGATCTCAGGTTGCAAAGGTGATTGGCACTGAGGGTCTGGGGCCAGCGACTGGAGGGTGGGGGAGCAGGGGAGACATGTTGCACCTGGTGCCAAGGGGACTGACTTCTTGTCAATAAGAGTCAATAAGTCAGAGGTGGGGAACATCCAGCCTGTGGGCCTTATAAGGCCCCTGAAATCATTGGGTCTGGCCCTGCCAAAGCATCAGGGGTGAATTAATTAAATGTTTGACCAAATATAGCAAGCTAATTTGTTGGTAATTTTGTATGGCCTGAAAATGATGTTACAAATATACAAATGGCCCTTGGCAGAAAAAAAAATCTCCCCTCCCATCCCCCTACCCCCATCCTGCAATAAATGACTGACTCCTCTCAGCTGACTGTCTTTGTCCTGGGGGTAGGCGCGGCTCAAGCTGTGATGTAGCTTCTCTCTCTCCAGGTTGGTGGTGGGGGAAGGCACCGTGCAGCAGCAAGTGGGGCCCAGGGCTGCGTCCACATGTGGGTGCGGGACATCCTCCCTCCTGATAAGTGACTGCCTGACCCAGCATGGCACAGGCACAGGAGCCCTCTCTCCCCAGACAGACCCTGTCACATGGGTTAGCAGGCCTTCTCCTCGGGGAGGGCTCTGGTGAGTGTCCAGCATGGGAGGGTCCAGGTCTGAGAGATGCCAACACAACTCACTTAGAGGAGGAGGCGGTGTTGGGGAGAGCAGGAGGCCCCTTGGTGCCCTGGAAGGAGGGCAAGCACAGCTCCACCTTGTGTAACGTGGGACTCGGGAGAACAGCAAGGGAGGGAGTACAGTCCATTCTGGGTCTCGGGATTGGCACCCTTTGAAGACCAGCTCGGTGGCTGTAGGGGAGAAGGTCTCAGGTCCTGTGTCTCAGGGCTTCTCCCTCTTGCTCCAGCATTCAGCATGTCACATGGCCGGCCCACTCTTCTTAAACGGCCCCCTCCCCTCTGCCCCCATGACTGCCCTGCCTAGGCCATTCCCTCTCTCCTGGACCAGGCTGTTCTCCATTCTCCCTTGCCAGCTCCACCCTGCCCCGGCCACAGGCTACTCTTCCTGACATCCCCCTGGCCTCCCATGGCTCCAAAGCCGTGGGCATCACCCGCCTGCCTTCAGATCTAACTCCAAACTCCCCACCTTCACATTGTGATTCCTCTCTAACCACACCGCAACCTTCCCTTTGGAAATATCTGATGTTTCCATCTGGAACCAAACTCTGACCTTATGGGGATAGTCCTTCCAGGCCCTCTCCCCTCTTTTCCGTCCTGAACCTTCTCTATAGGAATCTCGTGATGACTGTGCTACATCCTCCAAGGTTGAACTTGTCCCATCTTCTCGACAAGTCCAATGCTAACTAGGATTGGTCAGCTGGTTTTCCCCTGGGGGTGGGGGGGTCAGGTGCACACAATGTGTATGACTCCAGGATGGAGGACTGCTCCCAGCAGGAAGGCACGGGTTCAGGGAGACCAGTCAGAAGCTGATGCTGGGACTGGAGCCATTGTTCTAGACTAGTCTGGGCGGGTAAGCCAGGGCCCCTCTGACCTAGGCTAGCCATGACCAGGGCCCACTACATTCACATTCCTCTAGTGCCCTCTGCCATCCACCTGCACTTCAGAGTGGCCCCTACTGATTGGAAGTTACCCTCAAAGAAAACACCACTGTTAGAGATTTTAAATAAAATGTATTTTCTGCAAAATATCAGCAGTCCCACGATTGCATTTTCTCCACAATAACATATTTAGTTAACAATACTGGCATTTACCAGGCACTTTCCTTCCTAGTTGCCCTGGTCCTTCACCCCCGTGGTTCTTACAGGCATGGCCACAAACCCTGGGTCATTAGGCAGGAGAGAGACCCTGCCTGCAGCTGACAGCAGGAGGAATGGGGGCCCATGACAAGAACCAATGGGCTCAAGGCCTTCCTTTAAAAAAGAAATGTCAAGCAAAAACAAACAAAACTCATAGACCCAGACAACAGCATGGTGATTACAGTGCGGGGAGGCAGAAGAGGGTAAAGGGTTATAAATGAGATGGAAGGAGACTTGACTTGGGGTGGTGAACACACAATACAACATACAGATGATATATTATAGAACTGTACACCTGGAACCTATATAATTTTATTAGTTATTGTCACCCCAATGAATCCAGTCCTATATAAAAGGCTAATAATATGCAAATCGACCAAACGGCAGAATGACAGGTCGCTATGATGCGCACTGACCACCAGGGGGCAGATGCTCAATACAGGAGCTGCTCCCTAGTAGTCAGTGCACTCCCACAGGGGGAGCGCCAGGCTCATGGCTGGTGAGCACAGTGGTGGTGGCAGGAGCCTCTCCCACCTTCATGGAAGCGCTAAGCCATCAGTAGGACATCCCCCGAGGGCTCCCGGACTGCAAGAGAGCACAGGCCGGGCTGAGGGACCCCCACCAAGTGCACGAATCTTGTGCACTGGACCTCTAGTCCTATATAATCCTATATAATAAAAGGGCCATATGCAAATTGACCCTAATGGTGGAACAACCAGAACTACCACTTGACCAGTCACTATGAGGTGCACCGACCATCTCTTGGTCCCTTTCACCAGCCAGCATGATGGCGAACAGAGAACCGGGGATGGGTGGCAGGGGACACAGGCGGCGCCAGGCCAAGGCCCCCGCCCTGCCGGTCACCCAACACACAGAGGGTGACCTGCGGTGGGGGTAGGGCTGGCGAGCAGGTAGGAATGGCCAACTTCTCGGTCCCTCCCCCGGGCATCAGGCTCTGATCGCCCAATGGCAAACGGGGAACCTGGGATGAGTGGCGGCAGGGGGCAGGGCCAGCGAGCTGGCAGAATAGCCGACCTCTTGGTTCTTCCCCCCAGCCAGCAGGCTCCGATCACCTGATGGGGAACGGGGTACTGGGGCTGGGTGGCGTGGGACATGGGCAGTGACAGGCCAAGGCCCCTGCCCCATTGAAGGGAAAAGGATAGAGAGATAGAATCAATGACGAGAGAGAATCATTGACCAGCTCCCTCCTGCACACCCAACTCTAGGTGACTGGGCCCACAACTTGGGCATGCGCCCAGACCAGGAATCGAACCGTGACCTCCTGGCTCATAGGTCAACGCTCAACCACTGAGTCACATCAGATTTTTTTGAGCTCATAAAATTTTATATATTGTATGTGGAGCAAGCATTAAACTAGATGCTGGAGATACAAAGATGAATAAAATACTAGCAAGAAAAGAAAATGTCAATAAATACTGTCAAGATTGGGAGGTGGAGGGTGATGGGAAGCTGCTTTCCCAGGGGAACAAGTATTAACTTCTCTTATGGAAAATGTGAATCATATAACTTTTGTTGTCCTTTTTTCAATGGAAGGAATAAAACTCCGAATACAACCAACTAAAAAGTAATAGATATCATTTTTCACTCACCCTATATAATAAAAAGCTAATATGCAAATCAACCGAAGGGCGGAATGACCAGTCACCATGATGTGCACTGACTACCGGGGGGCAGATGTTCAATGCAGGAGCTGCCCCCTGGTGGTCAGTGCTCGATAGGAGGAGCACTGCTCAGCCAGAAGCCGGGCTCATGGCTGGCTAGCACAGCAGCAGTGGCAGGAGCCTCTCCTGCCTCCGAGGCAGCACTAAGAATGTCCGACTGATGAGGAGCAGGCCTAAACCATCAGTCGGACATCCCCCAAGGGCTCCCGAGAGGGTGCAGGACTGCGAGAGGGTGCAGGCCGGACTGAGGGACACCCTCCCCACCCCACCCCACCCCCGCTCCCGCGTGCACAAATTTCATGCACCGGGCCTCTAGTTAGGTTATAAATAGTGGTATCTAGCAGTGACATTTTATCACTGCTTAGCTGGCATGGCCTCTTTGGAGAACAATTTTTATCAAGTATTTTAATCAAATTTTTCAATTTGTTTATCCAGCAACTCTACGTCCAGATATCTCCCCTGGAGAATGCACATGTGCACAAAGAGACCTGTATAAGAAAATTAATGGCCACATCCTCTATAATAGTAAAAGACAGGAAACCACCACATACTATGCAATAGTAACAAAGAATGAGATAAATCCATATGTACTGCTCTATCTGCTGGATATGTGCAATTAAGTGAAAATACTGAGTTGAATAATAATACAATTCCAACCCATTACTGTTAAAAAATAAGACCAAGATAAATCTTTTTAATGCACTCATGCACCTGTGGTAAGC